CCGACCATGCCCGCGGCCGGGGCGCGGCGCGGCGCGGGGGCTCCCCAGCTGCTCGTGGCGCTGCTGCTGGTGCATCTCCCGCAGGTCCGTCCCCACCGAGCCACGGGGCCCCGGGTAAGTGCGAGCGGCTCCCTGCCCTGCCCTGCCCTGCCTGCCCCGAGGGGGCTCCTGCCCGGGCCCCCCTGCCCCGGCTGGGACGCGCCCCGGATGGTGGCGGGGCAAGGAGCTGCCCCAGGGAAGCCAACCAGGCCCCTCCCGCCCCTGTCTCCGTTGGTCAGGGGCTCTGGCAAGCGGTGGGGAAAAGTTAGCTGACAGCCTTTCTCTCTTCCTCTTTTTTTTTTTAAAATAATGATAGTCCTCGTCTCGCATTTAGGAGCCAGCCCTGAAGACGGATGGCTGTCGGGCTCCCCTTTTGCAAATCCCTGCAAAGATGCCCTTAGCCTAGACTTCCCCTATAAGAAGCTCCTTTCTTTTCTTAATTTTTTTGTTTTGAAACCCGAGCATGTTTCGACTCTTCTTCGGACCGTTCATTTCACTTGCCAAACTGTTAAGTAGCTCTGGGAGGTAGGGAGGGGGGTGGGAAAACCCAGCATCTCTTCTAAATATGGTGCTCTTGGGGAGCCACCGGGTTCCAGCGGCCGCAGGACTCCTGGGCTAAAACCAGAGCTTTGAATCTCAAGGCTGCAAAAAACGGTAGCTGTTTTCAAGGCTGCGCTGCTGTAAAAAAAAAACCGCATAGTTTTGGTGAAGCCGAGAAACGTAGCTGTGCACGAAGGTGTTGGGTGCCGCTGTCCATAGGCGTTTTTGACAGGGCAGCGTGAATTATGATGCCACTTAGTGTTTCATTTACTTCCTCCCGCTTAGTACGACTCAGAAAACTTGACTCAGCATTGCCACCCAACCAGAACGTAGCAATGGGATAATTGAAAAGGATGGAATTGGGGGTTGCCTGCTAGACCAGGGGATTGTCTGAATAACAAACCCATTGAAAACCTCATGACACAGTGGGAAAAACTGGAGCTGCTCCACAAAAAAGGGTATCGTTGTATTCAACTGTACCTTGTAGCCCTTTTTATGACCAGATGTGTAACAGCAGCAGTTAGAATGTGGCAGATTAGATCCAGTGCACGTCATAAATCTTTGAAGCAGCAGTCTGAAGCT